AATTACAACGAAATTCAATGAACTTGAAATTAAATTATCATCTACTGACCAACATTCGTCACCACAATTTGCTGAAAATATCGCCAATGAAGCCATCGATCGTGTTAATTGTCCCAAAAATGATATTGTCAGAGGCGTACCAGAATCTACAGGTCATAATCAAACTAAAAAAGGTCAAGACAAACAATTTTTTAAAGAAATTTTACATACTGTAGAATGTGACGCAACCCAAGTTACTTTCTTTAGAGTAGGCAAAATTGGTAATAAATATCCTAGAATGATCAAAATGGTCATGAATAATGAGTATGAAGCTAAACAAATTCTGCGAAATAAACAGAAACTCTTAGAAAAAGCAAAAATAAAAAATGTATTCATTGTTGATGATAAGACACCAATGCAAGTTAACTTTTAAAAGATTTGCGATCTGAGTTAGAGATTATAAAAGAAAACGGAGTACAAAATTTAATAATAAAATACATACGTGGTATACCAAAAATTACTAATTTTTGACAGTAATATTAAAAAAACTGGCTTTTGCGACTGGCTCTGCTTTTATACTAATTTGTCTACACTACACTCTAAATTTAATGAACCCTTATGTTATATTCAGGATTTAAAACCTAAAATAATACTAATAACTGAGACTTGGTTAACACAAAATGATTCTGACAAGTTATATACCATAGATGGATACTCTCTTTACAGATTTGATCGCAGCAGTCGTGTCACAGCAATAGTATGCATATACATGTCTTTAGAAATTTCTGAAACTTCTTCTGCTGCTCATCTGGATATTGTTGTTCCTAACATTGAATTTTTATGTTTAAAAATTTCTCTTAATTCACTTGTTATTTATTTGACGTGCCTATATCGTCCAGGTAGGACTGTCCTAGAAGATGATCAAATCTTGATCGAAAAAATGCAACTCCTTTCAAACCTTAAAAACCTTGTCTTATTTGGTAACTTCAATTTTCCTGATATCTCTTGGCCTTTGACAGTTTTAAGCAATGACCTAACAAATAAGAGAAACATTTTTATAAACTTTTTTCAAAGCTCTACACTACACCAATTGATTATGAATCCAACTCGTTTCAGAATACACAATTTGACATCAACGCTAGATTTGGTTTTTACAAATGATCACCGATTGCTTACAGAACCAGTGATATGCACTCCTGTGGGCAATTCTGATCATGTAGTTATCACAACAAACATACAGTTTATTACCGAATATAATCATCTTGGTGAAAATACAGTTATACATGAAATAACAAATTTTGAAAACCTCTCTCTCCAATTTTCCTAAAGATAGCCATTAGACTATCTTTCAAACGAAGAAGACCAGATTACCCACAAAGACTTTCTTTAGCAGGGTTACCAACTTTTGAAGCTCGTCGATTCCATGGTGGAATTATCACCTTCCGAATTTTAAAATTTGGATATAGAAATCTGCAGCACTTGTTTTAGATCATCATAGGAGATTACGTGGACACAGTTTGAAACTGAAGAAGGAATCCTTTTCATGGACAAGGCGCCAATATTTTCTGTGTAATCGTATTTTTATTAGAACTGTCTCCCAACGGAAATTACAAATTCCCCATCTATAAATTCTTTAAAAACCAACTAGACTGATACATGTTTGTAAACTGAATAATACTGTATACAATTAACTAGTGAATAGTTTATTTGCTTAACTAATTATTTTGTAATGTACTATTTTATTTTTCTTGTAAATGGGCTTCACGGTCTTCATGACCCCAGCCCTTATTACTATGTAATAATAATAATATTTTGACTGATTAATTATATCCTTCGATATACTGCTCTACTCTTTTAATGACCAACTAACAGTGGAGCAAATAAATAATTTTATTAAAAAAATATTTTTTTAATAAAATATCTTAATACCATAGGTTTGACGCAGATAATAGATAGAGTTACAACTAAATAATTCAAAATGTACATGAACAGGCAAATTTTAAGTCTTAGTAAAATGGTGATAAAAGCAAATGAAACGATTAATACGTGTCAATAATTAATCCACATTATCAATATGAAGATTAATAAAGTTGTAGTATATATTTAAAATATATATATATATATATATATATATATATATATATATATATATATTTACATCAATCCAAAGAAGATCTACATAAAATGTGAGCATGAAATGTTTTGTTTTTCTTTTTGATACTTACAGATATCCTAACAGAATAATAAAAAAAATAAAAATAATAACAAATTAAGGTATTAAAATATATTGCAAACAGAGGTAACAAACCCGCCTTTATAAACGCAATTAGGAAAGAGATTCTTGATATAACTATTCTAAGGACAGGCCGACAGATGCCATGCCATTCAAATTCGACTTCAAAACACCCTTCGAAGTGGCCATAAATAACCACCAAATGGGTTGAAGCGGAAGTGGAAGAAAGTTTACTCGTATGGTATACGGATGGACCTACACAGATGAAAGGGCAGGAGTAGGACTTACTAGACCCAATTTCAGGCTATATAAATCTCTTGGAAACGTTTCAACTATCTTTCAGGCAGAAATACAAGCCAGCTCAAATGCTCCAAAGTCATTTACTTACTCCAGAAGCTGTCACGACGCAACATACGTATCTTTGAATGAGGAAGCTGACAGCCTCGCAAAAGAAGGGGCTAATACCCAATTACAGGGTCCAGAACCCTTCTGTGGACTATCGAAAAGCTAAATCAGAAAGAAACTCAGAACCTGGGATCTCAATAGACTAAGATTACATTGGTCTAACGCATCAGGACAAAGACACGCAAAAAGGCTCGTATAAGTGTCGCCCACTGCAAAAAATCGAATAAAAAAGATATAAAAATTGTCTTTGACCTTCTCACTGATCACTGCCCTCTGAGATATCATCTCAAAAAATGGGCAAATCAGATAGTGAAAACTGTCGTTTCTGTGACAACAAAACAGAAACGGCAAAAAATATACTATGCAAATGCGCAGCACTGTTCTGTAAACGACTAAAATTCCTAGGAGAGGTCAGTCGAGGGCCCTTTGACATAGAAAATAAGTCACCTAGGAAGTTAATAAATTTCAAAAAAAGTATTGACATAATAGGGTTCAACTAGATTAAGGTATGCACAAAAGATCTCTCTAGGTCGAAGTGCGATGAGGCTGCATGGCCTTAACGACCTCACATTAAATAATTTATCTCACTTTAAATAATTAAACGACTTAACAAACAAGCACACAGATAGAATCTAGAAATTTATTTTGTTCTCGACCTTTATTCTACCTCGTCCTACTTTGATAATGTTTACAAGAAAACTTTAGAAAATACAAAACACGGTATGAATATCAAAGGAAACTCAAAACGCAACAGATATGCTTTTGAAAAATAATTTTGAAATATTTAAAATCATTTTTCTTTACTTTTGTTTCAATGTTGATAGAATGATCCTTCTTCTTTTATAAGCTGTCCGTAGAATTACTTTAACTTCATCATTTTCTGACTTATATTGTTACAAAAAAATTTAATTTTGGATATACAAATAAAATAATTTTTAAACAATTTGACCAATCACAATGAAATTTTGATAACATTAAGCACTATAGCACTATCTCTGACTTATTTTGTAACTTTCTAAGCAACAAATAAGGATAAACATATAAGAAAAAACGCCATATTGAATTTTTTAAATAACTTTTTATGTGAAGTTTATTATTCTTAAATTTGTTTCAAATGCTTGACTTTTTGCTGATAGATGAAAAAAGTAAAAATTTAGCGATTTTTGACCTTAATGTGTTAATAACTAATTTAGTCCAAAAAATCGACTGAAGGATATAAGTTTTTGTAACAGAGTTACCTGGCCGGTTCAAAAAAACCTTATTCCCCTGGTCTATATTATTACATTTCATTAGTTACAATACAATATTTTGTCTTTATATTTTCAGCGCATGTATCTGTTTCCAAAGAGCAATGATTCTTCAGTTCAATAGAGACATTCTAATTTCAGATGTAGTGATGGTCATAAATATCCTTGATCATTGGTTAATAGTCTTCAGATTTACAGCAAATTCGGCTAAAGGTCAGGAGGCTTTTAAATATTTTTTTATTATCCAAAACTGCTATTTATCGGCCTTTCAAATTAGCAAATCTTAAATTCTGAATCATTTAATTTGCTAATTTTGGGTAATTAAAAACTTGTTTAAAAAAATGTTAAGCGGTTGTTGAATATATTTGGCAGACACGGTTAACATATTTTTGTTGTTTTGTTAACAAAGAAGTTTATTACATTATTTAAATTACCACTAAAACCACAAAGTAAAAACATCAAAAAGGGAATTATCAATGAAAATGCATTTTTGAGTAAGAAAAAAACCTGCTAACCAAGGTTTTAACAAAAAATAACTACCCATTGTCATTTATAAACAAGACTGAAGAAAGGAAACAACAAAACACAACAGTCAATCTAGAAATACCCGCAAGAAGGGATTCAAAGCTCAACAAAAATACTATACGTAAAGGGGTTTATCAGAACAATTTAACAGGATAGGAAATAAGTACAACATCACAACATTCAAAATAACTGAGATCAATCCTATCCAAAACCAAACCCAACAATACACAAGAAGGATGAAAGAACTGCATCTATAAAATATCTTGCGAACTCAACAATTTATATATGGGAGAAACCGCAAGACTACTAAGTGTCAGGATAAACGAGCATAAAACATACATCAAGAATGAAATGATGTATTAATAATCATCAGTCTGTTATTTTTTAACAGAAAAAAGAGGAAGCTCCTAGGGTCTATACAAATTTTAAAAAATAATGTAATGATGATAAAAATATGTCAAAAATTTAAACAAAATATATTTCAGTTTAATCTAAAATATACAAAAGAATAATTTTAGAACATCTATGAAATACACTTATGAAATAAAATTCGTTTTAGGTCAAATATACCAAAACTGGGTGGTTCAATTAAGAAATAAATATGTACAAACCTCTGAAGACGTCCAATTGAATTTGTGTTGCTCCACAATTGGCACCTTCGTTGCTGTTGTAGAGTTCGTGACATTTGTCTGAGCTGGTAACATCATATCGACTATGGCTATTGTTAGATTTACTCTTAACATGTAATTGAACATGAAGCCTATGATGACCATTATATTTAACACTTGACGACATGTTAGAAAATCTGAAAAAAAAAATTAAATATTGAGATTTCTTCGAATGTTATTTAAACAAAATATCTGCCTCTTTCTCATACAATACGACATGTTCCTTATGCATTTCTTATAGACTCAATTTTCACATAGTACTGGTCAGGGTAAAATTTGCAATATGCCATATTTGCCAGAGATAATAAATACTACTACAAAGAATACAAAGATACCTTGGAAAATGACACTGCGTATTTAATTCGTTAAGTTCAAATTCGCGGTGTTATATAAGTGCTTTTTTACACATTACAAATCCTTTAGTACCTCTTCGATAAGAAATCAAAAACTAAGATTAGAAAGGTATATACACCCTACCTTTGTGTAAATACACTTGAGTGCAAAAAAATCGACTCAAAAGCGATATTTGAGATAACACCTTTTGTTTCAATCTAAGAAGTATGAAAATAATAAAATAATAAAATATAATGTGCAAACTATAACTTTATTATTGAACTTACAAAAACTGCTATTGCATTATTTAGAAGACCCAATATAAATACAATATGCAATACAAACACAGTTTCCTAAATATTCATCATCGGAACTAACGCAAGAAACACGTTATGAACAGAGAAATCATCAATTACAACATGAATTTCTTAATTATTCAGTATTTTGTATGACCACCACTACTCCTAATTACACTTTCCAATTGATTTCGCATGGATCGGATGACTTTTTTAATAAATTCTTGAGGCATTGCTTCCCTTTCATCATTAAGCGCAACTTTTAATTCTATTATGCTCCGTGGTGCATGATTTCTGTCCTGGACCCTTCGTTTAAGCTTATCCCAAACATGCTCCACTAGATTTATGTCCGGGCTTAACGCAGGCCAATTTATTGTACGTATACCGATCTCAGATAGATAGGTGGTGGTGACTCGTGCGACATGGAATCGTGCATTAAAAGAAAGGCAGCACCAGTAAATCCCGCGTATGAAACCACATGTTCCTCCAAAATGTCTCTGATGTTACGATCTGCCGTTAAATTTCCTCCACGTCCTCCACCATGCGCAAAAATCAACTCGGTTTTCCATCCATAGAACTGCCTGCACAAAACATACAAGACTCGCCTACATGACACACGTTCTCGTAAACAAAATTAAGCAAATCGCTCTCCTGGCCTTTCATAGACTCGACGCCTCTTGTCGTTGCCATGTAGGCAGATCCTCCTCTCATCGGAGAATAATACCTGCCTCCATTGATAGTCGTCCCAATCCAGATATTCGCGAGCAAATTCTAATCGCCTTTGCTTCTGGGCTGCAAATAGCTTGGTACACTTAGCTGCCATTTTTGGTGTCAGGTTGGCTGCTTTTAGTCTCCTTCTGACTGTCCAAATGCTGGTCACCACACCTCGGACATCACTAAGCTCTTCTTTGAGTTTAGCACCACTCAAATATCGATTTCTTAGGGATTTGGATACAAGAAATCGATCTCTCTCTGTTGTTATTCGTTTACGGCCTCCTCCTTGTCAACGGATATAATCAGCAGTATCTGGGTACCGACGCTACACTTGGAATCCAGCAGATTGGCTTAAATTTAGTCGATTTGCCACGGCCCCCTGGCTCAGGTCTTCTCTCAATAATGCTACTGCTTGAGTTGCGTTGATGGATATGGTATCAATTTGTAATGCAGTTGCGATTTTAAGTGACTGATGTATTAGTGGATTGCTATGAAAATTGATGCGTACGATGGTAACCGAACGCGTTTTGTCGGTGCGGGTCGATTCAAATGAGTCAACTTGTGACCCCCTCTCTACGTGTTGCATTATTTATTTGTAAAGCGTCATCCAATTCACCAAAAAATAAAAATTTTTTAGAACTTAATAATGAGGTTAATGATTGTACACTAATTTTTTTTAAATATACACTTTTCAGATCGAAAAAGGAGACGTACTTTCGCAAAATAATTTTGAGCCGATTATTTTGCACTCAAGTGTAGTATTAACTACAACACAGAGAATTTGACGAGACAAAATTACCCATTCTAGAATTTACTTTTAGCGTGCATTTCTTAGAAGACGCAATTTTATATTTTTGGTGTCTTGGGAGGGTAATTATAAAGTTAAGTTCAAGTTTGTGTTTTTTTTGTTCACATAATTTTAAATCAGTTTATTATTTACTTTACATTCCTAGGTTATTATAAATTTATTATCGACCCACTCTGCTACCACAAAACTTAATCTACCTCGTGCGAGTGCGTCGTACCAATGCACAGGGATAAAGTTTAATAAGAGCACCATACCAATTATATTCCAAGATAAATTTCTTAATAATAAAAAGAAAAAAACAAACTTAATAGATCTTCTCAAAACTGCTCTCTCAGAATTGGCTCTTAGTGTCGAGCAGACTGAATCTGATGCTGATACAGTCATCGTTGTTATGCACTTGCTGCATTCCAAACCTATGATTCTGTGACACTCGTAACAGAGGACATTGACATTATAGTCTTTCTCACAGCAGTAGGAAGGGAGCACTCCAATGGTGTGTGTCCAAACTGTCCAATTTTTTTAAACTTTTATATATCGCGATATCATTGCCGAGAATTTGTCTGTTTCTTCATGCTTTTTCAGACTGTGACTCACTATTAGTAGTTTACAAGATTTACAAACTTAAGTTCAATAAAATTTTACAGAAACATCCTGAGTTATCTTGCGGAACAGCATTATTTCTAAATGAAAAAGCCGAGCCATCTTTGCCCACTATCGTTGGCGAACGTTTTTCGTCTCTTTATGTGGTGGAAATACAGAGATACAAACGATTCGCCAAGACAGTAACCAAAATTACATTTAACTTATCATCGCTTCCGCCAACAGATGATGCAGCTTGTTTCCATAGTGTTTGAGTTTATCACCAGGCAACACTGCGATCCTGAAGATTGGGGCTGGAAAAAGCATGAAAAAATTTGGATACCGATCAAAACTTTCAAAACTGCAGCACCTTTAAGGTGCGTTTTCACCAAAAAACATTTACAAACATCTACACACAAACATTATCAATCATTTGCTAACGTTTGCCAACACATGTTTGGCACAGTTTGTCAAAAATAAGAACTCGAGAATTTGAGTAAGTTTGGAAACATTTGCCATCTTTCCGTCTTGTTTGTAGAAAATGGCTCTGAGAAGAGAAGTTATATGTGCGACTAGTTTTATAATTATGTCTGAGTTAGTAAAAAACGATTATATAAAAAAAGAAGAATAAAAAGACGTCGAATTTTTTAAATTTATTGTAGTATAGCTTATGACTTGCATTCCATATTTCTGGTTTAATTTTGTAAAATGCAATTAATTGTAAACATTTCTTATTATCCCATTCCATTTTTTGTAAAAAACATCTACTAATTACTAATCACTCATCGAAAACAAAGTATTATTAGGTGAAGTATTTTTGGGATTACTTGTTAATAATAACACACAAATAGCATCAGGTTATAGTTTATTTTTATGAACGAGAGAGTAATTAGCATAATTTTAACTGGTATCTCCGACCACTCCATGGGCGTGCTCAAGATTAATTGAAAAATTACTTTGAATAATTGTAAAAAATAAATGAATTATTTCAGTGTTATTAAGTGTTATGTGTATGTAAACAAAAGTGACCTCTTTTATCACACACTATATTAGAACTGACTGGCCTACAGTAAAAAGGGTTTTAAAAAATTCACATTTTTTGTAATTTTTAAAAATTACAAAAGAGAAAAAGAGTTTTTAAAACCGTCTAAGGTATGTTAAATAGATGAATAAAAATATTAATATAAAACTTACAGCTACTTATTACAAATCCAAATCAGATTCAGAAGATGAACTTTCAGAACCAAGATTTATAATAACTGGCTCGATCATTTTATCAGTAATATTGTCCAGCTTCCACATTTTTTCCTCTTCTTTAATAGTGTGATTTACTGTATTTTCCCAGTTTTCAGGTTTTAGATTATTTACAGCCTCCAAAAACAACTGTTTAACATCATGAATTTTAAAAATGGTATTTTTTCTTGAAACTTCACTGAAACTTCAATGATATGGTGGGGATCTAAGAACTAAGTCATTCCACGATTTTTGGCAATTTCATCAATTTCGTATTTTTTAAATTTTTCTTTATGAAGGGCACACGACGAATAAAGTTCCTTTCTTATAGATCCGGGATGGTACGTAATATTTTTTGAACTCAGCCAATTCTGCAAGTCTTTTTTTAACCACTTGGGCAGTCCTTCTATAATTTTGGAGTGATAACTTGCATTATCCATTACTATTACACAGTTCTTAGGAAGAAGATCTATCATTTGTTCGAACCATTCTTGAAAGACATCAGCGTTCATGTCTTCATGGTAGTCACCGGTATGAGTTGATTCAAATGTTAATAAACCACCTTCAACAAAACCGTCTGAACTGCCAATGTGTACTATTATCAGCCTGCGTCCCTTTCCTGATGGTGGGTTTAAACCAGTAGAGATAAGTTATTTACAAAAGCGTGCCTTTGACTTGTAACAGTTTCATCCTGCCAAAATTTATTTGGTGTATGACCCTCGTTGATCCATGTTTCATCAAGATAAAATATTTTTCTTTTTTGGTTTCTCATTTCCTTTATGGTTCTTAGAAAATGTCTTCTCCATATAACAATATCGTTTCTTTCTAATAAAATAGACTTTCTGGCATTATTTTTCCACCGGAAGCCTATTTCTTTTAAAAGTTTCCATAACGTACTTTGACTCATTTCTGGGTAATCCTTATCATCTCGAACTGAGACAAGAACTTTATCCAATGTTGGAAATTCTTGTCTAAAGAAGAATTCATGCACTTTCCGTCGAAGTCCTTCTTTAAAATGATATTCTATTTGAAATTTTGGTTTCCCTGGAGCATTACGTGGCATTTGAAAACAACCACATTTCTCTTCTTTAATAACTCTGTAAATCGTAGATTTCCCAACACCAAGTGTACTGCTAACTAACTCAACGGTCTCATCAACACTTTCACATAAACGTTTGTCTGTAAATGATTTAAAACAATTAAATATTAATGTTTTTTCATTGACTGTTAAAGGACCAATTTTTAGGCGTTTACACGGCACTTCCAAATTTTCCATAACACTAGTATACACATTGTGTTCATTGTGTATTGTCAATAAACTGCACCTTGCAACTGAAGTACCTACTTTAAGTGAACTGTTAAGAATTTTGAATACGCCACTTGGACCTTCCTACAAAATGGAAAAACCCACTATCACATTTTCTGTGGAATAAGTTTAGAAGGTAATTATTTAGTCAATTACGGTCGTAGATTCCTGGAATTAAAGAATTAAATGTTTGATTGTTGAAACCCTTACTTCGTGGAATGCACTCATTTCAGATAAAATAAAACGTTTTATTTTATCTAAAGAATTAAACTTTATTTTGCAAATAGGTAGGTACTTATTAAACTTTTATTGGTTATATATAACCAATAAAATAAACATCTTACATTTCTTGCAAATTCATTAGTACCTGTTAACCTCCATCACTCCGACACTGGCAACCTTATCTAGGGATTAGTAACCCTCACAAGTATTGTATTCTATTCTGCTCCAACCTTTATACCTGGTGGTCATACTCAATTTAAAATTGTTTTCCTATATACTTCTGTAAACTTGTTGACAAATATCTGTTTTTCATTGAGTCACCCATATCAACAGTTTAGGGATTTGCATACATAATTTATTGTTTTATTACTCTCTCATACATAAAAATACACTATAGTTGATGTTATTATATTTATTTGAATATCTGCTTAAAATATGAATGTTCTGCATAGCATGGACAGTAAAAAAAAGTTAATTTCAAAGGAACAATTTAGGTATTTAATCATTTAAAAGTTTCTTTTTGTTTAATTTAAATTTTTTTTATATTTTTTTTTGTTTTAGACCACGAAAATGAAAGTAACGACGACAATCATACCGTTGACATTGATACCAATACATTTGCTTCTAATTATTCCGATGATATTCCGAACTATGTTCCCTCAGGATCACAAGCCGAAAACGAAAATTTGAATCTATCTGATAACAAGGGAAGTAATGTGTCATTGGATAGATTATCATCAAAGGGCAAGCAAAAAGTAACAGAGAAGGTTAAGATAGGAAGAAAACGAGTTAGAAATGAGAACGAATGGATTAACAAAACAAGTCAAAAGAAAACTTAATAGCGGTCTGGAACATAAGAACCGCAAAGATAAGTTTATACCTGCAAAGAAGATGAAGGTTCTAGAAGGTAAACAATCCTAAGAGAAACTTTTCGCGCAAATAAAAGTTTATTATTGGTAATGCCGAGATACAAATTTGCAAGACAATGTTCTTGAATACATTTGTGATTTCTGAAACTTTTGTTAGCACTGAATTAAAAAAAATTAGTGATGGTGGTACCATAGAAGCAGATAAGAAAGGAAAGCATAGACCGCACAAGATTCCAGATAGTGTAAAAGATAACATTTTAGAACACATAAAATTATTTCCACTTGTACCTTCCCATTATACAAGGAGGAACTCAAAACGCATGCACTTAGAAGAGGGCTTAAACATATCTGTAATGCACCGAATGTACGTGGAATATGCCAAACTCAAAAAATGGGATGCCGTCGCTATAGTTAGAGAATACAGGTATACTCTAAACTCACAATTCAACATTGCAAGCCTAAGAAAGATCAGTATTCAGTATGCAGTGCTTATCACAATACAGATCCGGGGAAAAGGACTCAATCAATGGAAGAAAATTACACTAGCCATGTTTTATACAAAAAATCGGTTGGATTTCTGAAAGATGCTAATAAGGAATTAGCATCAAAAAGTGATAAGTCGTTTTTAACAATATGCTTCGATTTGCAGAAGGTATTAGTAATGCCCATGTCAAAATTAAGTAACTTTTATTATAAGAGTAATATTGCAACGTATAATTTTATATAATATATATTATATAATATGTAGAATATCAAAACTTGATAATATGTATAATATCAAAAATGGGACCGAATGAAATTGCAAGGTGTTTATGGCATTTTTGAAAAGGTGCAAAACAAGATGACATTCGAAAAGTCTTGTTATACTCCGACAATTGCGGAGGGCAAAACCGCAATCGTTTTATTTTTTCGATGTCTTTGACTGACTTTGAATCTGGATAACCAATGCACCAAAACACCGTTTCCTTGAGATGGATCATACCCAGAACGAAAATACGACAGCATGCACGCTGTGATAGAGATTGCAAAGAAACAACATTCGAATATTTATACTCCTGACCAGTGGATTAGCCTCATAAAGATGGCAAAAGTTACTTACCCACAGTATAAAGTCTCAAGAAGACTTTAGATTTAAACCAATGGTTAAGAAACAGAACTGGAAGAGAACTAACACTGCGGAGGTGGCAAAGATAAGCAAAATTAAGGAAATTCACTACGACCCGAAGAATCCTTATAAAGTTAATTTTACCTACAGTTTTGTAGACAATAAAAAATTAAATGGTCTATTAAGTTTATGTAAAGCCAATTTGATACCAGCCATGGGTTTTATAACTCCCTGCGGCCTGCTAGTGAAGACATTCTACCAGACTGCTCTACAGATCAAGAAAATGTTTTTGAATCTAAACAATATTGTACTAACAATATTGTATTGTATTGTACTGAGCAATTAGTCGTTAATTATTATTATAATTAGTGTCATAATGCGCATTATAAACAAATTGCTAAACGTAAAATTTTTGTTAATTTTATTTGATTTGTTATTGTAGTATGTTTTTATAAATGAAATTTTTGTCGACGAAGACACAATCTCATTAAAAATTCAAAATTGAATATCTTTATGAAAATTATATTCGTTTGCAATAAGTCTGATTACAGAAATAATTACTAATTGAAAAAATGAAAAACGTAGTGGTGATAATTAAAAAATTACAGAACGTCACTTTTCACAATTATTTTTAAACGCAATTATCTTGGAATGAGCGATCTTAAGTTACGACAGTTTTGGTTGGGAGGGTCGATTTAGTTATTTTCTACAAATTATGGATGATTAGTAAAACTACAGAAAAATTATCTTAGGTGGTATTAAGCGGATCGTAATAGAAAGACGACTCATTAACGGGAGCGTCGGAAGTGGATATGACTGACAGTAATAAAAGGACTACGAAATGCTACAAAATTGCAGCTACATGGGCGTTAATAAATATTAACCAAACCAGAGATATAAATAGTATTGATAAATACAGATATTTTTTTGGAAACTGGCGAAATTCCATTTCACTTAAGATTAATTTTTCCCATGCCGATATTGCTAAGCCTTCTTAGAAGAAATAACGGAAGATATTTATTTAACGATACTTCTAGGGGTAGGAGACCATCCGCTACCAGTTTACTTAATTTGAATATTATCAGTCAGTTCAAAAAAAGCTTTTCCCACAGTCGGTCGCAAAATCTTGTAACCTAACAGTTGCTAGCTCGCAAATTCGCTTATTAATATATTATATGTATTTGTAACTAAATAGTTCGCATCGCAATATTATTCATAAAGATTATAAGTCAATCATTTATAGTAATCAGTGTTTCTTCAAACCGAAGTATAGTTTTTATATAAAAGTTCATCTATTCAAACCACCAGTGTTGCCAGTAGTTTGCTTTAAACATAGAAAAGACATTCCGCTAAGCAATTCTACTTGTAATTAGTTATATATAATAGTGAAAATAGCGCCAGTGAAAAGTGTAGTTGAAATACTCCATATCACAGTGTTTTTGGACAGATTTCAGAAATCGCTATTTAATCTTAGTATTAAATATAAGCTTATGTTTAAATCTGTTTTTCATTCCAGCCCCAGGCTGGTGGTCCTTCGTCATTTAATTCTCTAAATTCGCTAATATCCAAACAGAAACATAAGAAAAAGAAAAAAATATAGTAGTCATCAAAATATTTAAATAGAAATTAATTGAGACAAAAATGTCGAGTGTCAAAACAAGACAATTATTATATGCCGCGATCATGGAATCACAAAAGCGAGAGAGATACAATTACAGGAAAATGTAAGTACATAAATTATAAATGTGTAAGTTTTTGTTATATGGTTTTTATTTTTAACTTATCGCCATTCATTTTCTCTTTTTTTTTTAATAAAAGAACAAGGTAAAACGTGTCCTGTAAATAAACTATATAATCAATTTTTCTAACCTTAATAATTAAAAATCACTTAAATTAAATTAGTAATAAACAATAGTGAAAATTTTGCTGATTTTTTTTTGTTCTTGTAATTTCAACCGTTTTAAACAGCTTGGTTTATAATTGTTAAGTTTTGTTGACTTGACACGAAGTGACCCAAAAAATAAAACCACAAGGTTATATGTAAAGTATGAATATGTATAGGTAGTTATTATGTCTCCGTGAGATGGTTATTTAGAAGTAATTGTTCGCGCAAGAAAATTATATTGTAATTTACACTATTATTAAAATATTAAAAAAAAACTATATTATCATTCGATCGTATTAACCTTTTTTTAACGATTAAACTACGATTTAGATAATAATATCTGTAGATATAAAATGTTTTTGATCAGTTTATAAAATATTTAAAATCAGAATTATTTTGGTATAATGCATTACAAACATTTAAATTATTTTTGTATGTTCCCGTTTTGTAACATCTTAATGTCCTAATATGTAAGTTATGTAATTTTCTTTTAGTTAAGTTTATATAGTTTTTGTATAACCAGATGCTCCGTCCAAAATATTACGTGATCATTAGCATATTGATAAAATCCAATAATTTTGGCATCTTTGACATCTTTAAGTGTAAACATTAGTAGCAATTGATTAAGCATTGAAACGTGCTTCATAGGAACTCCAAACCAATATTTTATTTTCAAGTTTCTTTTGAACAAACTTGTCGCAGATGCTACTAAAAACTTACGCGTCTTTCTAACCTCAGAGAACTTATTTGCTTGGGCGGCACCCAAATCCCAGATAAAGTTGATCTGTCCCAATACATACGTAAGATTAAGATTAGCTGTTTACTTTCTTCTTGTTTTCCCTTTGAATATTATACATTAATCGTTGCACGTTTTGTTTGTTTTTAGAAAAGTTACTACCTTAGCATGAAGAGAGTGTCTCAGATCTCTACTTATTTGAATCTGGTGATATATGAAAGAGAAGAGTGAGTGAAGAAAAGAATAATAAGTCAGAAATGTGAGCCTTGAATTAATTGCTGGAAGAACATCAAGAGACAGAATACCGACTCTCTGTAAAATTAGGCGATGAAATAAATCACTAAAACTACTAATTTTCCGAGGCAAGATAAATCGCTGTGCAACTTTTTGCATTCGATTCGGAAAGTGTCAGGAAAGTTTGTGAACAAAACTCATGCTTGTAAAATGAAAACTGCATTCTGTGCATAAGGCAAAGGTATTTCCAAAGTACATATAAAATTAAAAATTGCCAACTTCTGGTGCCCAGAATGGATCTCGTCTCCTGGACTATATTAATTTTGTTTTAAATCAATCGAAAATCATTACTCGAGGGTTGTCGAAGTCGCTGAATACTAATATTATGACGGCGATGATATGCTCTGGTCTCCTAGAGTTTTATGTTATATTCATTCGAAATCAGACAAAAGTAATTACTCAGGGGTTTTTAACGTTGTTGAACACTTATATTACGACTGCGATGGTAACCAAGGTTTCTGGTGTCCAGCGTGATGACGTCTTTTTGAATTTCATGTTAATTTTATTCTAAATCACTCGACAGTCATTACTCGGGGATTTTCTAGGTCGCTGAACACGAATATTTTGTTGATTCATAAAACTTTATTAAAAAAATTCAAAAACTTATCCAAAACGTTATTTTTGAAATTTGGCACTTTTAAGCAGTTCGTAGTTGGTAGATTATAATATCCCCTGTAGCAGCTCCCGCCTTTTACTTTCATATGTGCTCTTATACTGATTCTCTCACACCTACTAGTACACAAGTCCTCCAAGGCACATATATGTGCTGGGTGAAAATTGCACGAATATGGAGAACTATGAAGAAAATCAATTAGGTATCTGATACAGAAGACGGTGAGGAAGAAATAAATTTCAATGATACGATTATTTGTTAATTTTTTTTACTTAATAAAAACAATTTTAATGAAATTTTACAAATGGTCTGAATATGGACCTTACACATAATGTGGGCCCCCAGTAATAATTTAATATTAGTGGTGTTACCCAGTATCGGGACGCATAACTGTCGTCTAACTAAGTTGTAAACCATTTTCCATAGCGTGGTTAGTTCCCAAGTTATAGTTTGTGAGTAGGCTTTGTGATTCGTCTTTTCTAAACAAATCTCTTAGAATTGTAATTTTAGAAAAAAAAATGCGATGAAACCTAGAAACATGTGTTAAGTATAATATGGTCGTTTTCACTTTTAGCAATGTAGGCCCGAGTCCATTTTATGATCATTTGATAATAAATTATTTTCTTGCAGATACACTATGGGAAATGATAAAAAATCTCCTAAAAATCGAATTAATAAATTATGGAAAGTAAGCGACATTGTATTGGCGGTACAAAGTGTGTTAAAAAAATGGGACTTAAAACAGCCGTTAAACAATCTAACGTTACTAGAACAACTCTACTAAGATTTGTGCATCAGTGTCAGGAATCAAACGATAAACCCTCTGAAATAGTTCAGTCAAAATTGGGAAAAGACCTAGAGGCTTGGTTAGTACAGTGTCTATTAGCAATGAAGGCAGTCTTTTATGGTTTGATCCAAAAGATCATATGGCATACTAATTCGTTATGAGGAAGGGAATAGGACATCCTTTTAAAAACTAAACAGCAGAACGCAGTTGATTAGACTCGTTTTTGATGAGGCATAAAACAGCTTTATTATTACTTATGCCAACTGAAAATTCGTTTGCTAGAGCTCTCCGATTAAACAAGGAAAACGTTAATGAATTTTTCAACTTATTGGAGCTTGAATATTTAAAACATAATTTTGAACCGCATATAATATTTAACATAGAAGTGTTTGCATCAGTGTGTCACCGCGGGGTAAATGGAAAGGTAATCAATCACCTTCTGTACCACCGTGTGCTCTGTAGATGGGGCTTCGGAAACGTCGACGAAAGCCCCTCTACTTGAATCCATTTGCGGGGTACGGGTTCGTAAAAGGTTTTCTTCTGATGAGCTCGTCTTGAAAAAGACGAGCTATTTCTTACATGACTTATAAGTCGAAATAAACATCAGGATGCAGTCTATGGTGGCTTGCCTTGACAAAGGCAAGATATTTCTTACACGACTAAATAGTCGAAATAAAACACTAAGTTTAAAGTTGAATAAAAATCTCAGCCACAGAGTATAGGGTAGGCTAAAAGAAAAAGCAGAGCCCCGAGAGCGATAAGCTCTCTGAGAGCCCGTGAAGGACTGACTGTTTGATCTGAAAATCGCCTATTTTTATACTTTCTGAAGTAGCGATTAGGGATTTCCAGGTCAGGGAGGAGCTAACGTGAAAAATAAAAGGCGGGGCGATGCGTCTCGAACGTGAACTAGTCGCGTCCGAGAACAAGTGGTGGGAGTTGTGGGGCGCAAAGGCAGAAGCAGATCGCTACATTAAAATTGACACAGCGTGGGTCACTGGTAACACTATTTCTGGAAGTGCTGGAGGTCAATATATTCCACCAATGTTAATTTTTCCTAGGAAAAATAGAAACGACCAACTCATGCATGGAGCTCCAGTTGGATCAACTTATGAAATTCATCCTAGCGGTTAGTTTAACCGAACAGTTTTACTTAATGGTTTTAGAATTTTATTTTTATTAAACTAAGTACAGAGTCGCCAGTTCTCATAATATTTCTCTAAATAAAACATTCATAGCGCTTTAAAAATCTATTATAGCGAAGAAATAAATATTTAAACAAAAACAGCCACCCGAGGCAGAAAGCCTGCTAAATCTTATACCTTCGTCGCCGTACAAACAAGAGCTGGAGATCTCATTGGAAAAAGCAGCTGAAAAAACTGCAGAAAAATAGTACATTGTTTACCGGGTAGGAAAAGCTTAACATTCCTGGACGACTGTGAAGATTGCTAAGTCGAGGCGCAAGCCGAGACTTAGCAACACAGAGTCCAGGAATGTGGCTTTTCCTACGAGGTAAACATACTATTTTTCCGCAAATCGTTTAAAATTCGACAGATATTGATTGATTTAAAAAAAACGCGATAATTTTATTCCCAAATAAATGGTGCTTTGAAATTCCTAATAAAATTACTTGGGTTACTATGGAAACGTATTGAGGTTGAATTGTCAAACTTGACGCTTATGAATTTAATTGCTGGTGTTCTCGAAAGTAAAATGATAAGTGATGATGAAATTTCCATTCCTGGGACTCCTCCAGAGCTTGATGTTTTCAAAATATAAATTAATTCCTTATAAGCAATGTGTTTTCTATCATTTATGTAGAACACTAACAACTGTACGGAAATATCATTTCCTTACTGTAAGGAAATGACATTTCCTTACAGTAAGGAAGTCCTGACTTTTTCTTCAAAAAATTTTGACAGAAATGTCAAAATTTCCTGGCGATTTGCGGAAAAAGGAACGTTTTTGCTACTTCCCAATCAGCAAACAAAAAGTCAGGAAAAAAACAGATTTTCAGAAGACAAAGGAGGAGAGCTGTGGATTTGTTGTCTCATGTGCCCTCAAATATTTTCTCTTCCAAACCCTGAAAATCTAAGTGAATCCTTCGTTAACGTGAGTAAAAATATAACATCAGCTATTTTGCCACAGCAAGATCCTATCTTCCCAATTCAAAAACGGTCTCGAATTCATTCTTTATAAGACCAGTTGATAAATCTGAACTGATCCAAACAATCAGTACTATCAAAAGCAAATCTTCCTGTAGTACTGATGGACTATCCATAAAAATTTTCTTAAATCTCACAAATAATGTGTTGGAAGTCCTGGTCCGATTCCTTTCATATTTAACAGGCACCAGATAACCACAAGACCCTTTAGATAACTGACCGTAAATGGCACAATTACAACTAAAGCCTTACGACAAGAACGAACAGACTTAAGGTCTAATATAAAAAGAAGAAAAAAAATTTCCTCATTTACATTTAGCTATTATATACATGGTATAATAGATGTGTCTTGATCTTAAAAAATGTTATCATAAACTGTAATTTAAAGATTTTGTTTATAATGGTAAAAGAAATTAATAAATTTTTATTTAAAATCTTTTATAAAAGGTATATAATAAAATACCCAAACGGGCTTTATCACAATTACATTATAGAACGTTTTCGGAATGTGAATTCCATCATCAGTGTAACGAAGTATACATGCTATGAGTCACTAAAATATATGGGTAAAAACTCGATAAATGTTGCTAAAAAAAACTTTAATTAACAGCATTTAACGGGTTTTTACCCATATATTTTAGTGGCTCATAGCATGTATACTGAAATACCGAACTGAGGAACTCGTGGAACCGGAACCCCCTCGGTAGATGAAGTGACCCCCTTTCTATATATCTATAGAAAAACTAAGGAACCACAAGTCCCCAGGTAACGATGGCATCCCAGCAGAGTTATTTAAGCACGGTGGAGAGCAGCTCACCAAGGTGATGCGAGAAATTGTTTGTAGAATTTGGTCTGAGGAGCAAATGCCCGAAGAATGGAGCTTAGGCTTAATTTGCCCGTTACACAAAAGGGAAACCAACTGGAATGCAATAATTACCGCGGAATAGCTCTCCTAAATACAGCATACAAGATATTGCTAAACATTTTGCACGAGAGATTAAAGCCTTATACCGAAATGTTTCTAGGAGAATATCAGGCAGGATTTAGGCGTGGACGTTCAACCATTAACCAGATCTTTACACTACGACAGATCCTCGGAAAAAGCGCAAGACTTAAAAACATAGATATGTATCATATTTTTGTCGATTTTAAAGAGGCATATGACAGTGTCTTAAGACCAAGTCTTTACAACGCTATGAATGAGTTAGGAATTCCAAAAAAACTAATATGTTTGATAAAAGTGACAATGGCGAAGATGCTATCAGCAGTAAAAATTCAAAATGACTCGTCAACCCCATTTGAAATACATAGGGGGT